GCTAACTAACAACGTAAATATGAATCACGTGACCGAAAAATTGTAGATTTGAAACTGATCACAAAGGGAAATTACGTAAGCGCAAGAAAAGCAGATCAACGAGCTTCACCTTAAGGTCATGAGCTCTAAGGAAGCTTTAGGGAGACTTAATTGTTTCTATACACAAAGGATAGGCCGATGCCTCTTAAAGGCCACGGCGTCGTCAAACCTCAAAACTTTGAGGTTTTCATTTTGTTAGATAACTGTAAATGTCGACCCAGCGTTAACCTGATGGCCTGTTTCATTTAGATGTCTGGCAATAGATGATGCAGGCAGTTTAGATACCTCTTCTTGTTCGGCTGTTTGCTGTGTCGTTAGCTTTACAATCCGTTTGGGATGTGCTCTCCAATGCATTTACCCAAGGATCGATCTATTCTGCCAATGTAACTACTTTCGTAGTTACAAACGAATTGTTAAATACAATGGGTTGTGTCGGAGATCGGTTAAGTTGGCTTCACTGGAGGCATCGGTAACTTCCTGGTCACCCAATTGGGGTAGAATTTGGCAGCATTGAATGTCCGGCGAATCGCTGTATGCAAACGACTATCAATTTGTGCGGTCACGATATCACCTTTGTAAGATAATTGAAGGTAGAAAGACAGTTTGGACACAAGAAGCACCCTCAGTATGTTTTTCTTCAGTTGACAGTGAAATCGAATAAACGTCTCTGGATATCCATTGGCCCGTAAGGTCTGTGGGATGAACTGCAATTCTGATTTTAAACAGTCGTTTGGAAGCTGGTCATGGACATCTTCCTCGATGGGGACAGTGGCGATCGCCGTATCTTCGTTTGTACCATGGTTGGGGATCAGGCGAGAGAAACCGTAAGCTTGACCGAAATCCTGGGTGCGGCAGAACCGGATTTCGAAATCACACCCAAGAAGTATAACGGCCCATCGTTGAATTCGGCTGGCTGAGTATGCCCGGATGCCTTTCTTGGAATCAAAGATTGACATCAGTGTCTTGTGGTCGGTCAGGAAAGTGAAATGCCGACCTTACAGCATATTGCTGAACTTTTTGACGGCAAAGACAATGGTCAAACCTCCTCGGTCTGCCTGTAATTCTCTACGGATGTCAATGTGCATGAAGTATGCATGACGGCTTCTCAGAACCAGTAGGGACGCGACCAAAGTGGGTAGGACTGTCGTAATGCGTCAGTAATAGGTTAGAACTGAGCAAAGTTTTCAGCCGCACGAAAGCCTTCTCGCCTGCAGCGGACCAGTGCCAAGGAGCATCTTTTTGCAACAGTTGATTGAGCGGGATCCGCACATCGTGTATCGATGGTAAGAAAGCACTGTAATAGCTGATGAGGCCAAGGAAGGACCGCAGCTGATGGATATCTTTGTGGGACGGCATCGGTTGAAGGGTTTGAACGTTTTCGGGTTCAGGATGATTGCCGTAGCATCGATGGCAAAGGTGAGATGACCGACCGAAGAAACAATTCACCTTTAGCAACCCTCTGGCGAAAGCCATGCTCCTGTATCCGTCCAAAAACCGAGACCAGACGTTTACGCAATTCTTCTGGAGTGTGACCGGTATACTGGGGAATATTGGAGATCATTACATCCATTGTCTGCTGGAACAGAACTGAACGGTCTTGACATTAAACGACAGTTTATTATGCTAGAGGAGACCGCACTGTTTGTTGATCGTCAGAAGCTGTTGCGACTCAGTAGCAACTTCGATCTGTAGGTAGGCATCTGCCAGATGGATCTTGGCGAAGCACGTGTGACCATTGGGCATGGTGAACACGCTGATTGGAGATGGCAGTGGGTAGCAGTTTTCTCTTGCGCAGCATTGAGACTGTTGAAGAACTCGGCAGAGATACGCTGGAGTTCATTCTGTCTCTTGACGGCAACGATCGGGGCTGCCCAGGCAAAGTAGGACACGGCTACAGGACACCGACATCTTCCAATCGTTTGAGTTCTGCATCGACCAATAGGAAGCCTGCGTAAGGGACCGGTGTTTTTGGAGGAGATTCCGATTGTGCTCCGGAAGCGAGGTATAACGCGGCGCGTGTGCATGTACAGCGGTCAAGACCATCCTGGAACACTTTAACGAACTGCCTGGTGATGTCATCGATTTGGTCGATTGGTACTACCGGAGATTGTACCGCGCTACAAACGACCCGAAGAGGTAGCTCGGCCAAGCCAAGGCGATCGACCCAATCCAGACCAATGAGGCTGAGCTTCGCCTTTGTGATGTAGCAGATTCCGTCAAATGTTACGCCTCGACCGAAGACGGAGCACTGCAGCTACTCAGTTAGCTTCACACGGCCACCACAGGCGCTGACAGCGGATTGGAGGGTTGAGTCGGGTGATGGCTGGCCAAGGGATTGTCAGAGTTTCTCGGAGATGATCGTGACGTTCGAAACAGGGTCCAACTGCAATCGAATAGGCTGCCCATTGATCAGGACGTCGACGAATTTTGACTTGCAAGGTAGCCAGCAAGCTCACGGAGCTGCTACTCGGATCAGTATTGGGCTTACGTCTGGCTCTTGACCTCTTTGTTCAACTGCTGGTGGGGGCCAGGCCAAGTTTGACCCCCTTGGATTGTGCGGAGCTGATGGTGGGGGCTAGCCCAGGTTTGACCCCCTTATGTGTCGTAGGATTGCAGTAGCCATCACGGTGCCTCACCTTGTCACAACGTTGGTGTCGGTGCTGACGGCATTTGCAGCTTCGGTGGAAGCGCCAGGCACCACAGAATCCGCACGGATAAGCTAAGAAACTTCGCTCTCTCGGGTTGGATAGGCCGCCGAGATGATTGCGGCAATGATTCTGCGGCTGCTTGGAACAGACCAGGTGCGCGACGATCCTAGATCCTCGCGGAGTCTTGTTTTAGATTGATCAGCATTTGACACTCCTCGAGCAAGTTCTGGAGTGTGGGATGGTGCTTTCACGCTGCAACTTAGAAAGAAGGTGCGTTCGGATGTCACAGTCTTTGGCGGACTGGAGGCCATAAATAAAAACCAGGCACTTGAACTGGTCGTCTGTGAAGGAGCCAAGCTGTACTCGTTCTCGTTCCCGATTGTCGATGCCCGCGTATGTGATGAAATCATCGGCATCCCTCTTCTCCAGCTGCAGACATTGGAACCGGGTGTTGATCAGCTAGGACCTTTTGCCAAAAACTGTGACACTGTGCGGACCGTCTCGCCAAAGGTAACGTTACAGGGGCTCTTTGGCAAGATGAAGTTGGTATACAGTTGGTGATCGACCGGACTCAGTTTGCACAGAAGCAGCCGAACCTTTCACGCGTCATTCTGTCAAGCCATGTCAACGGCGCGTAGGTCCTCTTATCTCATACCAAGAATCGAAGGTGACATGAGCGCCAGGATCGTACAGTAACTCCGAGATACTGCCAGCGATATTGTCAATCTGTTGAGAGTTTCCAGCGGAACCTGACTGATTAGGAGAACTGGAGAGTTTTTCTGATGATGCAGACATCAAATTGAGATGTTGTTCAAACAGCGACTTAAAATCAATTTACGTAATCACGATGGATCGAAACAACCAGTCATCACTTTGTTATGACGCCCTCTTGGTTACGCAACGCTTTGACCATCTGATATCGACTTTCCTAGTCGGACGAATGAATGTGACTGGGAACTCTACTCACACACCACAAGGTAACCGACAGCATTCGAAGTTTGTACGACCCGGGGGACTTAGACGTAACACGGTTACTACGCGCAAGTTGAACGAGCTCCTAGACCGAACGCAATTTCGCACGTGACTACCCAAACCCGCTGGAACTTTTACCGGCCAGGCTCAAAGCGATTACAGCGCAGTCTAGCTTGGTTTAGATACTGCGAGTGTGAAATATGTGAATTTTCGCGTAGAATAGTTTGCGTAGGCATACCCTGACACTATGTGAATGTGCCAACGGAACATGTCGGAAAGTGCACGTTGGTGAATGTCTCACGGGTTGCATGGCGGATCGACTGAGGAGACTATAATGTGGGCGTTCAGTGCAATTTCGTGGTAGAAACTTGCTGTTCGTTCAAAGTAACCGACAAGTTTTGCTTTACATGACATGTGCACCAATCAGCGGCTCTCGAATTCGCGTCGTTTTATGCGACAAATTAAGCAAAGGCAAACAACCACATGTCTGGAAGGTACGGATTAGTTGTTCCAACAATGTGGTTTGCGCTATCAGATGTAACAATGATGAGCTACACTCCCAGCCCATGTAAGGTCACCGACAGTACGACCTGCATTGTCAGCTGTAACAAACCTGAACTTTACTCATGCTACTGTTCAGACACGCAGTTGTATCATTGAGACAGCTGAGATAACTGAAAATGCTATCGGCGGTGTCAATTGTGAGGTACACTCAAATCCACATTCAACAGTGTTAATAGATAAGTGTTGAAATTGCTAAGATGGTGAGACCAATTCTCCGAGTACATGCGGGTTTAATGACTTGAGGTCGGTTAAAAGTAGAAGGCCCTGCGATCGTTTGGCTGCGACGAACAACATCTAAGGTTACACAGAAATGTCCACTACTCATCAGTAGCTCAACTGTTTTTCACGTGGAGCTACCACACAACAAGAACTCAGCGCAACTTTAGTATACACAGATGGGTGATCTGTATTGAGACAAGTACTCGGCATCGATTTGCTCTCCGCTAATCAGCCGCAGCCGTTGTGGATGTGGTCAGTATGGCAAAAGTCGACACAGTGCTGTGGACGACGATCGACATTATCCGAGCTATGTCGACTACCGACTTCGCCTTTATTAACTTCCAACCTAGTGAACTGTGCATTGAAATCTTTAGCAACAATGTGCTGCATTTCTTTTTACCGAGAAAGTCGTATCGTTCACGAGATCATTTTTGTCCGAATCCTAACTGCTACGCTGTAAAGTTCGTTGCTCTCATTCTTACGAATTATCTGCTATTCATTGCGTGATTTCCCCTTATGCTTTATTTGGAACTATAAGTTGTATATTCTCATATTCAGCACTGCGCCCTTGTGTATGTGAACAGTGTGGTAAATCGTTTTCTGGAATGAGCAATTTGCGAGTACATCTCAACTCCGTACATCTGAGTGAGTTTTTATTTATAGTGTCAATTATGTTTTCCTTTCCCGCTTGCCATTGTTGATGATGTAACTTAGCTTCGATTTGCTCATCTTGATTACATGCAGCAGCTCCTTGTTTTGTACTTTTCACTGTTCAAAGTCATGCATTGTTTACTTTTCCAAAATGACTATTGTGTGCGATGATGTTTCGCAGGACATTCATTAATTTCAGAAGGACTGTCGGTTGCCGGTTCACTTCCTAGTGGTTCGCAATCCAAATTATGATTGACTGTATCATTCCATTCCCAAAAGTATTACTCCAAACGATCCAACAACGATTTCCGCAACGCATTGGGATTTTTGTCTTCCGTAGAATTCGCTGGTGTAGCACTGAAGACATCTACCGACTAATTCTACTTTTCCGATTGGAGTTTGATTGTGTTTTTCGTTAGCTGACTTCTGGTAAGATGCACGCAACTGTTGACGGGTAACCAGGAACACTTACTCCCCTCAAGTGGGGTTCATGTAGTTATGGTCGTCTTGGATTCGGTGTTAAGAATTAGTTACAAACCAGTGTAGGACACGCTTATCCGTCATACATTCGGCTGAATTCAGCTTCCCCACTAGTTTTCGGTTATATCCGTCCAATATGTAGTTTGACTGCACGGACAGCCACACGACGCCTCCAACTGTACATGAACTGCTAGTGACTCTCGCTTCCTCACGAACTGTTCCATCTACGCCATCCTTCGCATTAATTCGCTGCTTGTTAACGGGTGTTATGCGAATGTGAGTTTTGATTTCTTGGGAGTTGTCCTGTACTCCTTTGAGAGGCACGCCCTTAGGAATTCAAGCGTGCATGCAGGCATAGGTATCGCTTCACCACTATGGAGTCCCATGACATAACTGGCCTCTTCGCTCAGTATGGTGACGAAGATTGCGTCCATTATTTTTCTCTTTAAAGAGTCGGACTTGCAACGCCTCTGTTCTAGCGACACAATTATGCCATACGCTAGCGTTCAATCTTCGATAGTGCTTGGTGTTACGCCCCTCATCACGTTTCTGTATCTCTGATTCTACCGGTTCTTCTGACTGGGAACCGAAGGGTTTTGTAACTTAGATGTCTCGAAGTGCTTAGAGATACGTCGCAAAATCGAAAACACTGGGGGATCCGTCGATCCATCTGTTCATTGATGTGAGAAGGTTTTACCTTTCATGACAATCGCATGTGGCATTCCTTTTGTCAGCGCCCATGTCTAACACATCCACACTGCGCGTTTCGCTTGAGAATAAGCATCAAACATATTGAAGCAGTTTTGCGATTTTTCCTCTGCTGTACCACATTCTCCATTGTACTTGCTCGGGTTTTGGATGGAAGTAGGAAGTGTCATCCTTCGATTGATCTAAAGTCTGCTGCATCTGGCATAGTTATCCTGCGACGCATGTTGCATTGTTCGTTACCGATTTAGCTGCAGTTAGATCAGTTCCCACTTTGCTCTCCTTAAAGATCAAGGATGGACCGGATTGTTGTGTTGCTCCGAACACAGTCATATAATCGGGTCGTTGCTGGTACTAAATGCCATAAAATCGTGTCGCATGATTAGCCTGTGGTTCTGTATTCTATAGCTTAATTTCAGCGACTGTTATTAATGTGAGGGTTGTCCTGTACTCCGAACCGGATCTTTATCTTGCACAGTTCTCCTTACCAAGTTAGGCATGATCCTCAGAGCAGCTATGAAATCCCCCGAGCTACAGATTGTTAATGCGTCATTCAACTATCATTTGAATAAGTCTATCTAACGTCTCAAACCCTTTTGTATGACTACTTTTCAAGCGTGATTCATCTGTGACATTGCACTCGACTTTTTATTACAGAACTTCGACCCTTTAAATGCGAACACTGTGGTGCATCGTTTCCTCGGAATGACCATTTGCAAACGCACATCAATTATGCTCACACAGGTGAGTGCATATCTGAAAACACGGTTTTACTTTGATTTTACCATTAGCGCTGCACCATCGTTAATGATATCTTATAGCTGTAGCGTAATCAACCACGATGCCTGTAACTTCTCTACCCAGATGTGTATTTTATGCAGAGTACTCAATTGTTCCATTCATCAAAGCAAAGACGGTCTTTAAACCGTTGTAAATAGTGTTTCCTGCGGAACTCAATGACGTGGCCGTGATTGCAGCAGGTGGCAATCCCAGTTTCCTATATTCCAGTTGAATTTCCACCGTCTCTGCTTTCAGAAAGTACTCGTGCACGAAACTGGTCGCGGAATGCAGTGTCTGCCGTGGGTAACGTCTAGCTTTCACCAACATCAACTTGATTTCAGTCTACATGTGGCCCTAGACGTCGTGAGCGCTTTGTGAAAATGTCTGAATAGAAGAATTGGTACATGATTCCCAATGGCCGTGTAGCAATTTTTTTAGACTCTTATTACTCAGAAACGATTGGCTCGCTAACGATCCTGTCATTCGACTTGATGATATCCAACTAGCAAAAACTCTTTGGATCTTCGAATTGCGCACAACTAGACATACTTTTCCACGCGGTAAGCAGTTGGAACATCAGATTTCGCCTCTGACTTAGGACACGTTAGTCAATTGTATGGTCCAGTTTATGAACTGAGTCTTCAGTCACCGGTACCAAACGGGTGCGAAACCCTTATCTGGATCTGCTGCCTTGTTGGTTGGACCCTTTGACCATAAGCTCGAATTTGTGGTCCCCTGAGACAACCTGCTTCGACCTAGACTTACTAACGAACCATAGAACCACAACATTACGCATTTCCTTTCACTCTCGTGATGGTCCAGTGCCCGGCAACTACACCAACTTTACAAACACACATTACCAATGTACCTAACCTATTGTATCAGTCACCCCTATTCTTACCTGATTCTTTAACGATGAACAGTCCTACCTCCGTTGATGAGTTTATTCCCCTAACATCCGCCAACTCCACACCTCTGCTGGACACGGAGTTGCCAGACCCGAAATCGTCTGTCTTCGATCTTACAACATCGAACACAGTTCATTATTTCAATCCTCAACATGCGCACATTATTGCAGACCAGGCAGCCAGTTGGACTTAGACTCATGTAGGAGACCCTGTGAAAATACTCGTCTTTTTCTTGTGAACACAAACGTTTGACACAGCACCCGCAGAAAAGTGACTTGGCGCTCACCAGCCACAGAAGTAAATCGACCACACTGCAATCAGATACCGCTGTAGTGGCTGCGTCCAAAATTCTCACTCGATTTGGAGCACGAGCGTAGACTCCGATCACGCTCTTGTGTGTGCTGACCTGCGGGTGCAATTCGACGGACGTCCGCAACGTTTCTGTGACCGCATATACACCAGCCAACAGACGAAGCCAGTGTTCTGAATGCATCTCAAAGCACGCTGGCATCCAAGCTGAGTAAGCATCCATTGAACATCTTGAAGATCACTGCTTACTTGTTCGTTAAACCTTAATACCCATATATATATATATATATATATATTTATATATAGTGTGCTTGTGTTCGCCTGTGAAAGAGTGGGGGCCAGCTCCGTCGATGAAACGTGGCTCCCATCCACATGCCTCCCGGTCTTATTCCTTCGGGTTTACACTGGATATGGGGTGTGTGGTTGGAGCTGTGGGTGGTGCAGCGCAAGCCACCCATGGTCCCTCTGTAGGCGCAGGCATCCTGTGGCTGGCCACAGTGACAGGCAAATCCGAAACTGGATGCCGCCAACCATATATATATATATATATATATATATATATATATATATATATATATATCAAATAAATGTCTAGTGGGCCATGAGCTGTGCCATTTGGGGCCACTACAGAAGCGACGACGGGTCCTGCAGAGAATTACGGCGAGCCGGCACAGCGTTTGTAGGCACGCTGAATTCGATTTACTAACCACGTGCTTGCATGCTAAGTCTTTTTATTTCAGGTGGTGGGTTTACAGTTTTTACCTTAATGCTTCTCTTTCCCATATAAGTATCTCCCTGTACTCTATTCCATTAAATTGCACACATCGCTTCAGCCAATTGTATTCTATTTCCGTAATATTTTTGTGTTCGTGGCATTCCGTGAACTATACTTCCTGACCTCGTGCACTTAGCTAGGATCTGTTTGTAAACAACTTATTACATACGCTATTTACTTAAGGTTTATATCACCGTTTCCTTATGCATTGATCGAGTATTTCTCTTTTACTTTCTCTCTCTCAAGTGTTTGGCTGTTGCTTGATATCCCCGGTGTGGCTGCGCTTGATGTGCATGTTGACAAGTTGCCTACCTGTGTATTACCCACCACCTCGTCCATACTGGCTCCAGGAGATAGTTGGTCTTTGCTGGAGGGGACGGGGTGCCCGGTCCTTGTGGCCGTGTTAGGCTCGAAGAGTGGTTCCATGCAGTCAGTGTGGAGTGGACTACGGTCCAGCCACCGCCTTGTGTGCGCTTGATTCCCAAATACAGTGTGCTTGTGTCTACCTGTGAAGGAGTGTGGGCCGGCTCCGTTGATGAAACGTGGCTCCCCTCCGCATGCCTCCCGGTCTTATTCCTTCGGATTTACACCGGATATGGGGTATGTGGTTGGAGCTGTGGGTGGTGCAGCGCAAGCCATCCATGATCCCTCTGTAGGCGCAGGCGTCCTGTGACTGGCCACGGTGACAGGCAAATCCGAAACCGGATGCCGCCAACCATATATATATATATATATATATATATATGGTTGTCAACATGCACATCAAGCGCAGCCACAACGGGGATAGCAAAAACAGCCAATCACAAAATATATACATAACCGTCGAAATACTGAGAACGGATAACAAATATTTTTGTCCGTTTTCACATGCCATTTTGTTCTTTCTTTGCATTTTGAATGGCACAGTTCTAATCACATCGTTCAAAGCATTTCAATGTACGGAGGCCTCAAGTGGAACGGGGACTTAATGCAACATAAACATCAACAACGGCTATCAGTGATATTTTATATTACTGATAGAATCCGAGTAGCTCGAAAACAACAAACTGTATAACTTCACCTTCAGCACAATCCCCTCGGGTTTAATGCGTGTTTCCGTCATTCTACCACGCTCCGACGCACTGCTGGAAGCATTCTTCCACGATGCTCCTTAATACCAGCGTTGCTTAGAGCAATATCAATGGAGTATGAGGGCTGTTCTATTATAGTGATTTTTTCTCGGTCAGTAATGTCCGGGTGCCCGGAGCGTTATGAGCAGGAGTATAGTCATGAAGAAGCATCCACGATTTGCTGTCGTCTGTTAAAGCGCACTCAGGGAAGCAAACGTTTCAATAATAATGCAACAATAATTGGCACAAGTGCGACAAAGACAATAGTCAGGTTTTAAGTGCATGTGACCCAGGTGCAGTAACCGAAAGTTCATAATCTAATACGAAAAAGGAAATAACGCAGTGCCAAACATATCTGGCGACAATTAACATGTGCCCAACATTTACAGATCACACAGTGAGGCTAGGGAGGGAATATTAACAGTCACTTCACAGTGGGAAATGAAGGGCCAGGTATCAGGGGGAGGAGTCTGCTGCTACAAAGTGAACAAATTGGTGGTTTAACCGAGCGATCCATCTGTGCCTTTCACGGATGGGTGTGTAAAGTTTAATGCAATATCAGTAAACAATGCCGACTTTAATCTAATTATCCTTAAGACCGACAACGCGCCCCGGAATGTTGGCTTGTTACGGTGTTGACGACACCTAAGGAAAATGTATACCTCGACCTCCCATTTAAGGGTAACCCCGCTTCAACGAGGGCAACCAAGCGCTTCCTCTACGTCACTCAGATAATGTAATGTGCTACAGATGCTGTGGTGATAAACAGCATAGGAACTTGAACCTATCAGCGTCAAATCACACAATACTCACTAATCCGATTATCACTGCTGCGTTAGTTAGATAAGCAAGAATGAGGGGGGTTTTGAATTCCAGAGTGAATGAATCCCGGACCAAATGGGTTCAAGGTGAGGTCAGCCATTTCGCGTCCAATATTCCGTGTGCACGCAAACGTGAACATGTTTTATTGACCCCTTATCTGCTTGACACCGGCTCCGCATTTCGGCTGCTATTACGTAATCCTAATCCACGCTTATTACGGTTCGCGTAAGCCGTGACGACAAGCCAGCTAAGACCTGCCCTGTGAGTGCAGAAACAGTCAGTTTTTGACCTACGAATACCCCGGTCTTAGGACGATTGCCGGCGTTCATCTCACAGCATTTCACTGATCGGGAACACCCTTGGGACTGTATAAGATAATTACTAGTTATTGTATTGGTACTGATGAGACAATACGAAATGCGTGCATTTATCAGTGATCGTCTCCTCATTGTTTTATTCAAACTATTGGAGGGAACTAACTGTTGTAAAAAAAAACAGTTTATTTCTCGGCGGTGCGCGAGACCGTGACGGCATAGGGACAAAGCAATGCTGACATGAATTCCCTGAGGCCGGTCACACCTGCAATTATAGTGTCCCACTGACGCAAACCGAACTTTGGCGAAGTATGTGAATGGGTGGTCCTGGATTCATTCACTCTGAAATTCAAAACCCCCCTCATTCTTGCTTATCTAACTAACGCAGCAGGGATAATCGGATTAGTGAGTATTGTGTGATTTGACGCTGATAGGTTCAAGTTCCTATGCTGTTTATCACCACAGCATCTGTAGCACATTACATTATCTGAGTGACGTAGAGGAAGCGCTTGGTTGCCCTCGTTGAAGCGGGGTTACCCTTAAATGGGAGGTCGAGGTATACCTTTTCCTTAGGTGTCGTCAACACCGTAACAAGCCAACATTGGGGGGCGCGTTGTCGGTCTTAAGGGTAATTAGATTAAAGTCGGCATTGTTTACTGATATTGCATTAAACTTTACAGACCCATCCGTGAAAGGCACAGATGGATCGCTCGGTTAAACCACCAATTTGTTCATTTTGTAGCAGCAGACTCCTCCCCCTGATACCTGGCCCTTCATTTCCCACTGTGAAGTGACTGTTAATATTCCCTCCCTAGCCTCACTGTGTGATCTGTAAATGTTGGGCACATGTTAATTGTCGCCAGATATGTTTGGCACTGCGTTATTTCATTTTTCGTATTAGATTATGAACTTTCGGTTACTGCACCTGGGTCACATGCACTTCAAACCTGACTATTGTCTATGTCGCACTTGTGCCAATTATGGTTGCATTATTATTGAAACGTTTGCTTCCCTGAGTGCGCTTTAACAGACGATAACTATGACAGCAAATCGTGGATGCTTCTTCATGACTATACTCCTGCTCATAACGCTCCGGGCACCCGGACATTACTGACCGAGAAAAAATCACTATAATAGAACAGCCCTCATACTCAATTGATATTGCTCTAAGCAACGCTGGTATTAAGGAGCATCGTGGAAGAATGCTTCCAGCAGTGCGTCGGAGCGTGGTAGAATGACGGAAACCCGCATTAAACCCGAGGGGATTGTGCTGAAGGTGAAGTTATACAGTTTGTTGTTTTCGAGCTACTCGGATTCTATCAGTAATATAAAATATCACTGATAGCCGTTGTTGATGTTTATGTTGAATTAAGTCCCCGTTCCACTTGAAGCCTCTGTACAGTCGTTCCTTTGATTCCGATTTCGCGCCATGTCGGAAAGTGTTCCGAGTCATTGGCAGTTCTCATCCTTCGTCCTCCAAGCAGGAAGGCATAATGGGCCGACGATTCCGTGATGTTTGAGATCTACTTCATGGCTCTTTGTTTCGACTCTGTCCCAGATTCTACTCACCTAGCGATCACTCCAACCATACCAAATTTTAGTCCCCATCGTTTAGACTTGCGTTTTTCGCAGACCTCGGTGATATACTCGAAATGTTGCAAATCGGTTATCTCAGCTTCCCAGGTCCGAACCCCACATTTCTCTTTTATCTGCTCTAGTTCCAGGTGATACTGATACTCTGCGATAGGATGTGAAATTTTAATGGAGTGAACCCACACCTTTTCGTGCCAGAAGTCTGTGGTTTTATCCCCGAGTTACTAATTTTAGCACGCGTACTTGTAGCTTCTGTGGCGTTGTATACGATGCTGTTTCTTTTTCCTTGACAAGGTCACATAGACTGTGCAACACAGCAAGCGATTTCACGTTCGGATGTGTTTTTGGATTGAGTCAGTAGCAAATGAGACTTCTATCCACAGCTGACATCTCTTATCCGTATGTGAAAAACACTGACATCTTGCTTGTTGCGGGTAACACGAATGTCTAATCGTATTCTGAACAAATCTTGGGACTGGTGGATGCATGCTGCGAAGGTAATTTCGGTCTATTACTGTAGTTATGCACTGGTCTTGATTATTATCACAACAACACAGTGTCCCAGTACCCTGCACCCACCGAATTTTTTCAACGACCATTGACCGTCAACTACGGATGGTGCATGTCGGTCCAATACTGTTGGTCGATTTGTGGAGTACGTGACTGGATTCGGACCACACCGTAGTACGCACTCCTATGCCGCTCGCTCTTCTCGCGTCGACTTGGCGTCCAACTTCCATGTTCACTTCCACTAGTCATCTGTCTGAATTGTCTTTAGGGCCGAACATTGCACAGTATCCATTGTACATAGCCACTGTCGTTGTGAACTTGTTAACGGAGCCCATCTGTTCAGCTTGTCGACATTATCAGCTGCTCCGCTATCTTCACAGTGCTTAACAAATGCGAAGGCAGTAGGAACACAGCCCCAAGAAATATTATACGTGTGTGTTTTCGCTTAGTTTTGGAGCACCGTAGTGTTCTGCTCACTAACCGTTATACTAGTATTGACGACAATATGTGCCAGAGTTCATACCTCTGTCGTTCGAAGTTGACTGGCATTTAGGGTAGTAGTTGCGTCGTTCGGTCCACGCAATACCCTGCGATGATTTTCGTTCTGCTCAGCACGACGGCCACCGAAGACGATACTTGGTACAGACGTTGAGCGCGTCAAGGTCATGTTACACTGCCTAGCCTGTGGAGCTGCATTGTGCGTGCGTGTCCTTCTCCCGATTAACCAGCGATACTTATTGATTGGTTCGAAAACGAGTGCTTAGCTAAAACATGTGAACTGCGTAAAACTAAACAGTTGTTCTTGTACCCAGTGGTGACTGCCGATGTACTATTGCCATTGCTTCTACTAAACTTCCATTTGCAATACTGTTGTTCTGATTTCGGTAGAGTGTTCATATACTCCACACACTCCTTGAGATCGGTTTGAGGTAAAACAATTTACTTATAAGCCCTGCGATTGTTTGGTGCGGCGAGTTTGGCTGCGTCGAACAACATCTAAGGTTACACAGAAATGTCCACTACTCATCAGTAGCTCAACTGATTCTCACGTGGAGCTACCACACAACAAGAACTCAGCGCAACTTTAGTATACACAGGCTGGTGATCCGTATTGAGACAAGTACTCGGCATCGATTTGCTCTCCGCTAATCAGCCGCAGCCGTTGTGGATGTGGTCAGTATGGCAAAAGTCGACACAGTGCTGTGGACGATGGTCGCCGTCACCTAAGCTATGTCGACTACCGGCTTCGCCTTTATTAACTTCCAACCTAGTGAACTGTGCATTGAAATCCTCAGCAAAAATGTGCTGTGTTTCTTTTTACCGAGAAAGTCTTATCGTGCACGAGATGAATTTTGTGTGAATCCTGACTGGTGCGCTTTAAAGTTTGTTCTCCCATTCTTGCGGATTATCTGCTATTTTCTGCGTGATTTTATCTTGTGCTCTATTTGCGACTATACATTTTATATTCTTATTCTCAGCAATACGCCCTTATGCATGTGAGCCGTGTGGTAAATCGTTTTGTCGGATGCGCAATATGCGAATACATCTGAACTCCGTACATCTGAGTGAGTTTTTATTTATAGTGTCAATTATGTTTTCCTTTCCCGCTTGCCATTGTTGATGATGTAACTTAGCTTCGATTTGCTCATCTTGATTACATGCAGCAGCTCCTTGTTTTGTACTTTTCACTGTTCAAAGTCATGCATTGTTTACTTTTCCAAAATGACTATTGTGTGCGATGATGTTTCGCAGGACATTCATTAATTTCAGAAGGACTGTCGGTTGCCGGTTCACTTCCTAGTGGTTCGCAATCCAAATTATGATTGACTGTATCATTCCATTCCCAAAAGTATTACTCCAAACGATCCAACAACGGTTTCCACAGCGCATTGGGATTTTTGTCTTCCGTAGAATTCGCTAGTGTAGCACTGAAGACATCTAAGGACCTTTTATACTTTTCCGATTATTATGTTTCTCGTTAGCTGACTTCTGCGAAGATACACGCAGCGGTTGACGGGTAACCAGGAACGCTTCCTCCCCTCAAGTGGGGTTCATGTAGCTCTTGTTGTCTTGGATTCGGTGTTAAGAATTAGTCACGAAGCAGTGTAGCACACGCTTGTCCCTATTTTCAACGCCTGAATTCGGCTTCCCCACTAGTTTTCGGTGCTATTTATCTAAGCGCTTGTCTGACTGCGCGGACAGCCACAAGACGTCTCCACCTGTACATGAACTACGAATGTCTCTCGCTTCCTCACGAACTGTTCCATCCACGCCATGCGATTTCGTTGTATGTTAACGGGTGTCATGTGAATGTGAGTTTCGATTTTTTGGGAGCTGGCCTGTGATGCTTCGAGACACGCCCTTGGGGATTCGACCGTAGGTGCGTTCAGAGTTCGATGGCTTGACCCCAGGTGGATCCAATGACAAAGCTGGCCTCTTGGCTCCGTTTGGTGAGGAACAGTGGATTTATCATGAATATACACTCAAACATCTAACAGTTTTCCGTAGGTAATGAGTGAGATCAAAGATTAATCTATCAAAATATAAGCGCATAACGGTAGACTTACGATAACATTTGTTCCTACATACCTTTTGGGTTATTTGTCGCGTGTCGCTGTAACTTGGGTGAAATCATCCAGGGCAAGTTGTGTATTGCATCCTCATGTCTAGTTTTATATTCGGATGATGGGGGAGCGGAAATGATAGTATGCGATGTAAGTTGTTGTTGTTGTTGTTGTGTTAGTAATAATAATAATAATGGTGGTGGTGGTGGTAGCAACACTACAAAATTTACATGAAGCTTTACAAAAGCCATTCAAATCACGGATTGAGTTACCACACCATCAACATGACACATTCGCCGTAGGTAAGCAACTCCGCCGAACGGAACTTTTTGTCAGTTTTCAAGCACCATTTTCTCATTTTTCGTCTTTTCCATGGCTAAGAGTTAGACAGCTGAATCTGAACAAGTATGTGCTCGGATTTTCCACGGGTTTCGATCGCGCGTCATATACTGACTTATTCCCAGCCATCGGCATTCTTCGTACTCAGTCACCAACCAGCCAGATGTGTTGATCCAACGACAGCAAGACGTGAAGTTAACGATTACGTATGCTATCGCCATGTGGACGACTGACTGCTACGTGGTCTCTTCCAACCAGGTCCTGCACGATGGAGAAAGCCGCACTGGTGCAAACTCTCATCTGACATCCGTAGGACGTTACCCAGTCATCTTAATTGAGGCAGGAACACCAGCTTGTTGAAGGGAATACTCGCATTCCCAAAGATATGTAGTCTGCTTGCATCGTTGCGGATAAGTTGTTGCCACCATACACGAGCAATCCTTCTCAAGCACCCATTAACGATGGTCAAGCGCCGGCGCGTGTCATCTACGCGAATCGGCCACTATTCACTAGTGTGTAGCAACACGGCCCGACCTGTGACACTGTAAATACGACCCTTTACAAATAGGGAAACATCCATACGACACCACCAGTGTTTCAGGTTGACGAATGCTGACCGAGCTTTGGCAACACGGAGGGAAACCTCATCCACAAGATTGCTCTTAGGAGACACACAGCTGCCCATGTATACAAAACTGTCCAATAGTTTAATTTGTGTACTTTAAATAGTGAGGACGGGAAAGGGATAGTGCTAATCTTGAAGCGGCACTTTACACTTTGACGGGTAAAAGCACATTCCATACTTAGATGCCTCAATCATCAAACGGTTTGGAGTGGTTTGCATGCTGTGAGTCGTTGTCAACTGAGATGATAGCATTGGCATAATCTAAGTGTGTCGCTCGCTTTCCTCGCAGTAGTTGCAGACCAAAATTTTGGTAACCGTCTAGAGCGGGGTTGTCCAAACGTTTTGCAATGTGGGTCACATTTTGTGCGGTAAAATTATGTCGGGCCGTATTCAGTCTGACATTAAGATAATAACAGATTACACATGTACGAAGAAAGTGCAAGCCTGCATTTATTATTTACTGATGAGGCCGCAGGCCAGTTGAAATGTTGACGCAAGCCCCATTTGACCCGCGGACGGGACTTTGGACATCCGTGGTCTAGAGCTCTGGACAGGACGTCTTCATTTGGTAAGTTGAAGAGGAATGGGGACATTGGGCAGCCGTGTGGTCCACGGCTATTGACAGCGCATGATGACGAAAGCTCGGTATGTACCGTAACTCTGCCGGAGATGTGAAGGTAGAGTGCGGTTACGACGGCGGTGTACGTTTCTGAGACCTCGCTGTTTAACCAGCAGATCGATCAACCGAGCCGAATGCGGCACGGATGTCTAGTAATGCAATGACGGTAAGTCTCTGATAAAGGTATCAGTATTTCAGGATTTGGCTATGTGTAAGTATTTGATCCACACACTCGCGGTTAGACCGGAAGCCAGATTGCTCTTCCCGGTACTGCGATTCACGTATGGGGATACTCTACTGAGTGGAATGAGTGAGTGAATGTGTATAGTAGTGCATGCTGCTAGAGGCATTTGTTAATGAATCCTTCTATTGGGAATATTGCGAATGTGTTCAGGGATGTCTGCGCTACGCATCCCGACATTTCTGAAGCCATCGCTGCTATCGATTTCCTAACCCGAGTTTTGCGCTCTTCTGACGTTTTCACTGTTCAAGGATTGCATGGTGTTTTAAATGACGCCATCGCAGAAATGACCGACACGGGTCGACATCACCTGTGCGTCAAATCTGCTTGCGAATTATTTCAGCGCTTCATCACTCTGACGATTTCCGAGGCTCCAGATGACTTTATCCGATGCAAGCAAGTGCTTCAGGATAGAACTGACCTCTTCCTCATTTAGGTAAATTCCTGCACGAAATTGGAATCATCCTACTTCTCCTCACTAAACTCTTACTTTCAGTTTCACTTCATGCTGCGCATTAGCCCATTGAAATTGACCTGAACCATTTCACCTTCATATACTTACCCCCGTAATTTATCTCGAAGACTTTTCTAATCAATCATTGATCACTCTTTGAATAAGCGTATGTCTCAAGACTTCGATCTCCAAGGGTTCATTACTAGTTTGCCTAAACGCTGCTGCTGCCATCGCAACGTGTTTGGACCTTATCGTGGTGCGCTGGTTTGCCTTCCTCCGTGACCCATTGAGCTACGCTGGGTGGCAACTTCCAGGTGCCTTCAGAGCCACTCATACCGGACTGGTCAACGTTAGAGGTCAGACTAACTCGGTCCCACAATGCAACCCACTTCGGAGGTTAGGGTGAGGTCGATAATCCTCTTCCTTTAAAATTTAGCCATGGAAGACAACGGGTCTACGGGTTATAAGCTCATAACCCGATTGACGTAGATCACGAACGCCACACATTGTCCCTGACGGTGGTTGGGCACTTTCAGGTGTTAAGGGGTTTGCTACCTCTCGCCTCATTAGCCAGGCAGCCCTGATCAAATTGCTGCAAGCCCACCAACTCCCACTTGCGTCTGGGCTTGATCATAGGTACGTACATGGCTTGGCAGCATCCCTTTCCGGATTTACCTGTGGACTCCACGGGGACAGCCGCATGACGATTGCACCTACAGAGGGACCATAGAGAGCTTGCGCTGTACCACCCACAGTTCCATCCACACACCTCATATCCATTGTAAACCCAAAGGGATGAGACCGGGAGGCATGCGGATGGTGCCACCTTTCATCAACGAAGCCAGTCCACACTCCTTCAATAGTAGAATAGAATCATTTCTGCCTAATTGGGCACTTATGCGTACCAGACGCATACAAGGCGGTGGTTGCACCGTGGCCCGCTCTACACTGGGTGGAACAACTCTTTGATACTAGCACAGCCACGAGGACCATGCATCCCGTCCCCCCCAGCAATAACCAGTTGTTTCCCAGAGCCAATATAGACGAGGTGATGGGTCATAGACAGGTAGGCACCTTGTCAACATCCACCTCGAGCGCAGCCACTCAAACAACCAACCCAGAATTTAGAGGAGAATAAACGCGCAATATTTGGTACAGAATATGCATCAGAACAGCAGTAATGAGCAATTCAAATACAGTGGATTACTTCTTATCCAGATTAGGAAAGTCTAGTTTAGGTGTTAGTCTTGGCATATCACCGTACTGGAATTGGGTTGGGAAGGTAAGAATGGTGACCTAGGTCACAGAGAGAACAAAAGAATAGTGGACACTACGCGGAGTAGTCATGAAACACAACCGAGCTGGAAAAGCTTAATACGAGCTAGGTTGGATATAGCTCCTACGACTTAGACAGGCTTAATACGGATAATGCAGGGTACTAAGTCAGTAGTTAATCACTCAACGGTGAAACTGTACCCAATCGAATTGCATAATCGCGACAATACCATTGACATAAGGTAGATGACAGTGATCATCATTATACACCTTTGCTGCAGGTGGAAAACATAACAGCTGTTGTGCCGCAGTGCAAAAGAAAAGAAAAAACATGCAACAGTGGCACGCCGGCTGAGTCCCCAGTAACGGTTGAACATCGTTCCGGAGAGCTGACAGCCGGCTACCGTGCCACAACAAAGAGCTATATTATGCCTAATAGATGAGATCG